GCTTTGCCATGTTGGCCAAGCTGGTCTCAAACTCCTGACCTCAGGTGATCTGCCTGCCTTAGCCTCCTAAAGTGCTGGGATTATAAGCATGAGCCTAAAATATCTTACTGTACTATGCTCACCTATTCTCAGACTGTGGCTGACCTCAGGTAACTGAAAGCGTGGCAAGGGAAACCACTTATCAGTGTGGACTACCTGTGTATGGCTAGTAATCTTCATAGAAAACACACAGCCTGCTCATTCGCCAAAGTTTCTCAAAACAAGGAGGACCATCTGAATAAAAATGTGTAAGTGAAGCCGGACGTGGTGGCTCATGCCTGTAATCTTAGTGGTTTAAGAGGCTAAGGAGGTAGGATGGCTTAAGGCCAGGAGTTTGAGACCAGCCTGAGCAACATAGTGAGGCCCTTGTCTCTACAAAACAATACAAAAATTAGCTGGGCATGGTGGTGCATGCCTGTAGTCCCAGCTACCCAGGAGGCTGAGGTGGGAGGATTGCGTAGGCCAAGGAGGTTGAGGCTACAGTGAGCTGTGATTGTGCCAGTGCCCTCCAGCCTGGGAGGACAGAGAGATTGTGTCTCGAAAAATCAAACCAAACCAAACAAAAAACAACTAAGGGCAGGCTGGGTGCGGTGGCTCACACCTGCAATCCCAGCACTTTGAGAGGCTGAGGTGGGTGGATCACTTGAGATCAGGAGTTCAAGACCAGCCTGGCCAACATGGTGAAACCCCATCTCTACTAAAAATATAAAAAATTAGCCAGGTGTGGGTGCATGTAGTCCCAGCTACTCGAGAGGCTGAGGAAGGAGAATCACTTGAACCCAAGAGGCAGAGGTTGCAGTGAGCTAAGATCACGCCACTGTACTCTAGCCTGGGCGACAGAGAGAGACTCCATCTCAAAAAAAACAAAAACCAACGAATAAACAAACAAAACAAAACAAAAAAACAAATTGCTTGTCACAACCTAACTCATTTAATCCTTTTAGTGATCCCATTAAATATCTAGGAGATAAGAACCAGTATATTCCTCATTTTACAGCTGAGAAAATGGAAAACTCAGAGAACTCAAGCAACTGGCCTGAGGTCACACAGCTTTTGGTTTTTTTTTTTTTTTTTTTTGAGACTAAGTCTTGCTCTGTCACCCAGGCTGGAGTACAGTGAGGCGATCTCAGCTCACTGCAACCTCTGCCTCCGGGTTTAAGTGATTCTTGTGTCTCAGCTTCCGGAGTAGGTGGGATTACAGGTGTGAGCCACCACACCTGTTTTTAGTAAAGACGACGTTTCACCGTGTTTTTTCAGGCTGGTCTGGAACTCTTGGCCTCAAGTGATCTGCCTGCTTCGGCCTCCCAAAGTGCTGGGATTACAGGTGTGAGCCGCCATGCCCGGCCACAGGTCACACAGCTATTGAGTGAAGAGAGCTCTCTTACTTTAGCCTCTCACCTTAAGAAAGCCATTCCCCCTTTGCCTGGAAGTGAGGCGATACTTCCAGAAGGACTTTGTCTCTGGGGAAGCCTGGGCTTTGGAATTCAGGCCCAGTTCTAAGTTTAGAAGCATTGATGCTGTTCAGCAGTGGGATCAATGGTTTTGCTTCACTTAAATGCCACAAGCTCCCTGAAGATGGGCTGGAGCTGTCAGGGGATCCAGCCCCTCCCCTTCCCCAGAAGTAAATACTCTTATCATAGTCCTTGGACTATTCTGTGTCCCTCCATTAGAGTGCTTCTTTCATGCTGTGGACGTTATTGAGACATAGCTCAGAGAATGAAATTCCTAGTGCTGCAGGGAGCTCAGATCCACCCGGGAAGGTTCATGAGCACTTCATGTCAGAGCCCTTATTCATCTATCGTTTCCAGAAAGTGCAGGAACAGCCACTCATTACAAAACAAATTATTGAAAGAAAAATTCCAAATCTTCAAAGGAGAGAGGCCCGTGGCAGTGAGCGTTCCCACCCCCTCTTTCTCTTCCCATCACCAATGGGCCAGCAGCACAATTTGTTTCTTGAAAGTTTTGGGGGCATCGGAGTTCTGGTGTCCTCATTTTTCTTCCTTCCCATTGATGTATCATTACTAGAGTGAAAAAAGAAGGGCGTCTCGAGGGCTTTTGAGAAAAAAAAGGGTGACTACTCAAGACATTTTGTAAAGGGGGGAAAACTGCGAAGAAAAGGGACCTCGGTAGGGGGTGGAGGGACTGTGAATGTGTCCTTGTCTGGAGGTTCTTTCAGCTGAAACCTGGTGATGGCGTTCGCAGTTCAGTTCAAACTGTCACCTTTAGTTCTTACTGGCTTTTCTGCCCTTGCCCCAGAACCTCAGCAGATTGGGGCTTATTTACCTATTCACACTCCGCGGTGGAAGCTCATTAATAGGCTTTATTAGCAACACCATTCATGGGAGGCCATTGACGAAAGGGGTTCCAGCCACTTGAAGAGGGAAGAGAAGAAGAAAAAAAAAAAACAAAAAAAAAAAACCGTAAAGAGATTATTTTCTCATTCAGGAGCCTCGCTGGTGTAAAGGTTTTCCTGGACTGTCGGAGGTCACTTGAAGACTACATAGGAGGACAGAATTATTTTTTAAAAATAATCCTAAACATGCTTTTTGTGTGTGTTTGTGTTTTTTTTTTTTTTTTTTTTTTCCCAGAACTGAAGAGTTTGCTGTTGTGGGCTTGTGGGTTTCACTCTCTTAGAAATGAGCACTCTTTAGGGAATAAGGAGCTTTTGATAGATGGGTGTCTTTTCATCTCCATAAAAAATACATTCTGCAAACTGTGCCTGGACATTAGAGTAGGTGTTCTTATTTGTCACTTTCAGTGGAAGGCTTCCTTTCCATTCAATGTGCATAAAGCTATTGATGAATGGGGGATAGGGACAGCGGCTTCCTGCACCATTAATTTATGTGAGAATGTGTTAACAGCATTTTCAATGGCTGATGGATATGGTGCAGGATGGGAAAGGAATCTGTCCGGAGACATTCGAGTTTCCCATTGGTGGGGAATATAAAGATGTAAGAGGCAGCCTGGGAGCAGGCAGACACATTCGGCTGCATCCCTTCTCTGAGAACTTGAAAACATACTGCTAGGCTCAGAACAACCCAGGTGGCAGTGAATGGCTAAGTGTCACCTGGCCTCAGGTGTCTGTTAATATGGGCTCCAGGACTGATTCAGGTTAGAGGACCGGACCAAAAACATGCCCTCCCACCAAGCATATGGAGGCATAATTTTGTTTAAGAACCAGTTTTTATTTTGTTGCTGTCAAACTTCCAAAATACCATATTACAGCCTTTTGCTTGAGGCAGTTAAATGGATTTGTTGTGTGGCTTTTAAGTAACTTGCATAAACGTTTTCTGTGCTATATTGTGAATAAAAATGATTTTCTAATCATGTGGCACCTTGAAAAAATATTTTTGTAAATGTTAGGAAGTGTGCAATGCTAGTGACACAGGTGCAAATACGTTTCTAAGGGCAGGAAAAGTCTGTTTTCCAAGTCAGGTTTGTTCTCAATGCTTCATCTATCTTCAGGCCTCAAAAGGATTCTAAAGCATTTCTGGGTTTAGTGACCTTTTCTAAAGAAAAATAATTAAAGTTTTAATCTATACCGTCTTGAACTGAGCACGGCTGCTCCGGAGCTGGATGAATAAGGAGGAAGAAAAAGCATATTTAAAACGAATGAATCCGAAGACGCGGCTTAGGGAAAAGAGTAAATGAAAATAGGAACTTTAGCCAGTTACAGCTTGGTGTGCACTTGAAGAATCAGATTTTGCATTTATGATTTTGAATCTAGGATTCAGAGGAAGGAATTAGTTTGCCCAAGATCAGCTATTTGTGGTAGAGTTGAATCTTTAGACTCCTTTGAATTTCTTTTAATTAATCCAAACATATATTACTAAACACTTTTTCTTTTTGGATGCAATTTTTGGCTTTTTCTGAGAGAGCCACATTCAAAGTCAGGCTCTCTCAATAGCCAGCTGTGTGATCCTAGGCAAATTACTTAACCTCTCTGATCTTCAGTTTCCTTATCAGAAACTGGGAATATTACTCTGCAGGGTGGTTGGGCAGGCGAAATAGAATCACCTATGTAATGTGACCCGCCCATAGTAGGGCCTCCATTAATATTCAGTTTTTTCCTCTCATTTCTATTGTTTAGAAAGACAGAAAAATGCAATGTCCTGCGAACATTTCCAGGCTGCTTCCTCTCCTCCGAAAGCTTCAGTTGCCTGACAACCCTCCCCGCAGTACCAAAAGCAGACGCATTTTAAAGTCTCTTTAGGGGGTGGGCAGGGTTAGAGCCTTCGGTCACTGGTACTGAACGCGGCCGCTCCGGGAGCCGCTGGCCAGCCTCGCTCGCCCGGGGAAGAGGGGGGAGGTGGCGCGGGCCGCGGGACCAGGCCTTATTCGGAGGCTGTAGCTGCATCCCCACGGCCGGATCGCGGCCGGGCCCTCGCCTCCCCGGCCGGTGTCTCGGGCGGCTCGGAGGCGTCGGGAGCCGCGCGGGGCTCGGGGCGGCCCGGGCGCGCGGCGCTGATTGGCAGAGCGGGCGCCGCCGTCCAGGAAACGGCTCGGGTTTCAGCGGGGGCGTGACCCGCCGCGAGGAGGCGGCGGCGGCGGCGCGGGCGGCGGCGGCAGGAGAGCGCGGTGGAGAGCCGAGCGGGCGGGCGGTGGGTGCGGAGCGGGCGAGCGAGCGCGCGCGGCCGCCACAAAGCTCGGGCGCCGCGGGGCTGCATGCGGCGTACCTCGCCAGGCGCGGGGACTGCTCTCGGGCTGGCGGGGGCCGGCCGCGCGCCCCGGGGGCCCCGAGGCCGCAGCTTGCCTGCGCGCTCTGAGCCTTTGCAACTCGCGAGCAAAGTTTGGTGGAGGCAACGCCAAGCCTGAGTCCTTTCTTCCTCTGGCTCCCCAAATCCGAAGGCAGCCCGCAAGCGTCATGCCCGCGCTCCTCCGCAGCCTGTGGTGCGCGTAAAGTCCGGGAGCCTCGGCGCCGGCGAAGACCCGAGGATCCCTTTTCTGCTTTTGGAGTTGCTCCCCCCAACACCGGGCTCGTCGCTTTCTCCATCCCGACCCACCCGGGGCGCGGGGACAACACAGATCGCGGAGGAGCGTTGCCATTCAAGGTAATCGCCGCGCAAGACGCCTCGGGGAGCTTCTCCGCCAGCCGGGGAAGTAAGCGCCAAGGGAGCCCGGGACGCCGGGTGCAGCGTCCTCCGGACGGGGGGCGCGGAAGGACTGGCATTGTGGGGGACGCTCCCTGGCCTCCCTCGGTGGCTGCATAGGTGATGGGGGAGGTGGGTGCGTGCTGACGGCCCTTGTTGGGGAAGTTCTGCCTCTGCCACCTTCATCCAGATGCTGACATCTGCCCCTGGTGCAGACGCCCCCCTCCCTGTCAAACCCTGGCGGGCGCTTTCCTACTGGCTGGGCGCGTTCCTCCAACCCCAGAGCAGACGGGCGGAGGGTTCGCCTGCCTGTGGCACAGCCCCGCAGACCGGGTCCCGCGGAGCATCTCCGAGGTGCCCCATCCGCGGGTCCTGGGAGCTTCCGTAGCATCCATGCACCGCGAAGACCCCTGTCTCGGGAGGGGGCCGCTGGGGTGGGGCCAATGACATCTCGTAGGGGTGGTGATGGCCAGGGGTGGCACTGTTGGGGAGGCAACGGCCCGGGTGCCCGGTTTTCGATGCCGGGGCGCCCCTCGCCCGCAGCCGCTGTCGGCGCTGGAGGGAGCGCAGCGCGCTTGGGGCTAGGGGGCGAACTGGACCGACTTTTTCTAGTTCGCCTGCCTGCTCCGCCGCAGCGGCTGGGAGATGTCGAAAGCGCAGGCGAGTTCTAACTTGCGCGCTCATTCTTTCGGCGACGGGGCCGCGCTAGGGAAATCAGCCGAGGGCCCTGCGTGGCGCTGGCTCCGACCCTCGCGGCCCGCGGACCTGGCGCAGGAGGCCAGCCCGGGGGCCCCTAGCCTCGGTCGCTCCCGTGGCAGACCGCTCCCTTGCAAACCGTTCTCCAGACCTTTCCTTTCTCCCAATTCAATCAAACCTACCCTTAAAGGCAAACCTGCTTTCAAACTCAGGGCACCCATTATGTGTTTGGTGTGAAACGCTATCAACATTTAAAATTCCATTGTCCCCGGGTCCCAAATCCCTGTAAATCTTCCACCGGCCTCGACTCATTTTCATCTGAAAAGCCTGTTTAGTTTGAAAAGAAAAGCAATCAGGCGCCCCTCTCCCTCTCCCTGGAATGTCAATTAAAATGCAGATTTCTCTGAGCTCTTTAGCGCCCCGAGAAGGGGGAGAAAAACGATATTTCGGGCAAACAAATGAAAGAAGTGCTGTCCCGAAAGGGGGGTGGTGGGGAGCACCCCCAAGCTGTCTGCGAGTTCTGATTGGACGCAAGCATGAAACTGGGAGGGCATTTGGGGTCCTGGCCCAGTTTGTGTTTTTTGAGATTTCAATTTGTTGAGGAATTTCTCCCCTAGACGTGACCCCTTGACAGCTCCCTCTCCTATTCAGCTGGGGAGAGATAGGGAGGCCTTAAGCGAAGAGATGGGTCTGCGCTTTGGAGGAGCCGGGCACTGTTGACTTTCCTGATGTGAAATCTACCCAGGAACCAAACAGCAGTGTTCCCTGTGGCCGAGCCAGCAGTGGACCTATCACCTCTTACGCGGAAGCCCAAAGCGAAGGGCTCTGTACTGGCCTGCCTCCTTAGAGGGTCGGGATTTTGGGAATACGGTAAATTGAAGAGCCCAGCACAGGCCTGGCATGGGGACCACTCCGCAGCCAATCCCTTCCTGCTTGTCACTCTGCCCGTCTTTGGGGGCAGGCTTGTGCCGAGGTGAAAATGGACGGGGTGGAGGGAGGGTGGGGGGCGGGCGGCCGAGAAGAGCCATCCATCAGAGGGAGGGTGACAACGCCTCCCGCGTGCAGGCTGAGAAGAGAGTTCCCTTTCAAGGGGAAAAATAAACACGCTGGGGCTTTCACTGGGGCTCAGACTCCAGGAAGGATTATGGTATTGAAGGCAGGAAGCCGGGATTGTGGCCGCCAGCGGCATGCTGGGCCTGTGTTCCCAACACCGAGCCTGGGGACCTAATTATCCTGCCTAGGAGGTCGCACCATACTTTTGTCCACTCGGTGAGGAATTGTGCAGACCTGTCGCCTTAGGTCTCCGCCTTCCAGAGGTTTGGGGAGGGGGCTGCTGTGGAGCTTGGACCTGGAAATGGCTGAAATGCAAATTTTTAGTGTGAGCTAGCGGGATGATGGAATGGCTTGAGATTCAGTGGAGGGCCCTGTCCACCTTTCTCTGCCTGAAACTAACAAGGCTCCTCTGGCAGGGACAGGTGGGTGAGGAGGCTGGGGAAGGAGCCTGGGGCGAAACCTCTGCGAGGACTCAGGATTGTTCTGAAGTCCTGTTAGAGGTAGAGAATTCCCCTGCATTCTGGAAATGCTTAGTAAATCAATGAGAATGTTTGTGTACTTTCCTCCCACATGTATGTAGAAATAGATCTGAAATTATCTTTTGAGGCTCTTGACTTTAAGAGGAAAGAAAAGGAGGAAAAATCCTTTGAGCAATCTGAAAGCACACGCACACACCGTGTGCACACACACACACTGTAGACACACAAGCTGCACACATACTTTTCTTGCTTTTTCTGTGAATCACACCGCTTCACCTGTGCTATCTTAGAAGCAGAGGTTTTCTTTATTCCTCCTTTGGAAATGGTGTGGCATATTCTTTTCCTCATCCATTTTTATCCTCAGTCAAAGCTAAAAGGAGCAGTTTTTATGATGAGATTTGGGGAGGCTTCAGCAGTGTTGAAATCCTATGTCATAACTTGAAATCGAGTGGGTACATAAAAAATGTGGAGTTTAGAGATTTTTGTATTAAAGGCCTCTCTCTAATCCCGTCTTATAAATGTGGTTCATTCCTGCGGTTCACAGATTCTGAAGCCTGAGTTTGATGTATCTCTTCTTGTGATTGTTTTAATTGTTTTCTAAAGTTTGTGCAGTTTGACGCTATACTTAGTCATAGAGGGTACTGAGTGAAATTAAAGTTATTTGGAATATATGAAGCTTGGAAAATTCTCTTTCCCTTGGATCAAATGGGTGAACAGAATAGAATAGTAATTTGAGTGTCCTCTTCTAAATTATACTCTGAAAATTTAGCCAATAGGTTAGCATATTGAAAGTTATTGGTCCAATCACATGCCATGACTATAATTTACATCATCATTGTTAATAAATTCCTGCATTATTCATCAGAATTTGCATCTGCTCAGTTTCCTAATCCTTCTACAGAGGTCGAAGACATTTAGCAGGCTGGGATTGCCATTTAGTCACAGGGGAAGGGAATTCAGGCTTCGAAGTCCCTTTTGGATCAGCTGTGTTGAATGCACCGCAGTTGTGTTCACTCTTTGTAAGTGGCTGCTTGGCGGAAGACTGAAATACACTTCTCCATTCGAAAATGAACCCTGACAAGTGTAAACTGGTGGGAATTTTCTGTAGCCTTCCTGGGATTCTTTTGATTTTGCTGATCTCCTTTCTTCCTGAGAGCTCCAGTGAGGGTGGGACAGACCGCTCAGCTGAGCTCTGGCCCATCAGAAATACGGAGCTGTGAGCAGATGCCTCCAACAGTTTAGCTTTCTAAAGCCCAGCTGGTCTAAGAGAAGGGAACGAAGTTGGTTATGCCAACCCAAGCATTTTTAACTTGCTTTTGTGGTTGCCCTTGAAACTGAGGTCACATTGCTTCCCTCGTTGAGGCCAGTGGAGGCGATACTGGATAGTAGAAGAGCCCACACATTGCCTCACTGAAGTGGCTGCACGTATCTGAGTCCTGCAGCTACTGTTTTATCTCTGTTTCTTAAAAGTAAGCTTTCAAAAAGATTAGCCTAACACATTTCTGTGGACCGGTCTGGTGGAATCACCTGGGATTCTGAGGTGAGGATGGAAGGCTTTTGCAGATAATGAAAAAGAACTGTGTTTGCATGCATTCGAGAGGCTGAAAAATGGTTTTATCCCACTTGGGCTGGAGTGATTTAGCATTGGGGAAGATTCCCTGACTCGCCAATCTCTTTCCTTTAGTGACTGCAGCAGCGGCAGCGGCGGAGGCAGCAGCGGCAGCGCCTGGGTCCCTGAGCCCACCGCAGGCTGAAGGCATTGCTCGCGGTCCATGCTCGTAGAGGAAGTGAGCAGATGGGATTAATGTCCACATGGAGATATGGAAGAGGACCAGGGATTGGTACCGTACCCATGGTCAGCTGGGGTCGCTTCTTCTGCCTGGTCGTGGTCACCATGGCAACCTTGTCCCTGGCCCGGCCCTCATTCAGTTTAGTTGAGGATACCACGTTAGAGCCAGAAGGTAAGTCACTGAATTTCACTTCTCAAGTTTGTTTTGGGATTTGTCTGGGGGCAGATCCTTAAGGCCTGTTTTACAATCAGCTACCCTTGCATTGTAAATGAAGCTTCTAAGAGTAACTGATCATGGTCTCTTTATGGTGAGGGAAGGTCCTTTGCAGCAACACTGCAGGCAGAAGGGTGTAGTTGGTGGTTTCTTGCTGTGTGTGTTTCTCTGTGCTGGGTGAGGGAGGCAGCTGGGAGCTAGCTCACCTTTATCCAGTGCCCAAGAGAGCTGGGAAAGGGACGAACCTTGGGAGGATGACTGTCTTCTCTAGGCTTCCCCAGCAGCCCTCCCGCTGCTCACAAATGTAAAGAATTGCTATTTTCTGACAAAAGGAACCACTAAGAGAAATTGCCAACATCTGAAATGCTGACGTCTTAGTTTCATTAAGGGGAAAAGAAGGTTCTGAAGTTTAGTACGGAGAGAGAGGTTTGACATCTTAGAATTGTTTTTAGCCTTTGTAATTCATGATACTTAAGCAATGCATCATCAACAGAGTGGCAGATTCTATTTTGGGTAAACTCGAAAGGGAATCTGCCAGGGGATCTCCTACATCTCTGAGAACTTCCAAGTGTCACAGGGCATGCAGTCATGTCACAGCTTTGGAAATCTCATTTTCAAGGTGTAAGTCCAGTTGTGAGGACTACACGAAGCTGAATTATTCAGCTCAGATTTGGAAGCTTTCTCCTAGCCCTTTGGAGACAACGTTAGCCAAGCCTCTACTTGGTGCTGCATTGAAATCTGTCATCAGTAGGGAATATTGGTAGCTGAGTTATTTTTTGAGTGGTAATCCGAGAATAAAACGGCAGATCTCAGCACTCATCGCCACTTAATGAACCTGTTTGCGGAGAGCCCACCTGGTGCCTGCCTGGCTTTAGGAACCCACAGCAGTCCGAGTGGTGCCTGGGGTCAGCTGAGCCACTCTGGGAGCACGTCCCGTGCATGGGGTGAATGAACAGCATGCTTCCCCAGTGGGGTAGTGGGGGAGAGGACAGAGAGCCCAGCCTTCTTAGCCAGATCAGGACAATTTAGGAAGGAGGGTTGTGTCCATCTGAGATGAGTGTTCTGAGAAACATGGGCTCCCCAGGAAGACCCCGGGCACGTGTCATTAAAGGATGAGGACCAAAGTACTTGTCACCTGAAGCAATCCTGTGGGACTGGGGAACTTTTGGTTACACAGAAGAATGGCAGCTCTTGTAATTAACAGGTGCGGTCACTGGGAAGGAAAGCTGGTAGGAGTTTGCGTCTGAGGCTTGTGTAGCTACAGCTACAGGCCGATTATGGAACTGCCTCTTGGTGGCTTGTGCTGGGACATCAGGATGAATGTAATTTGTAATGGTGGTGCATTTTTACAGGGCTTTCATGTAAGAGGGAAAAAGTTCCGGGTTTCTGAAAGTCATGCCTGTACTTCTTTAATTTTACTAATAATTAAAATGGATGTTTCCCTAATTGCTGGTTTTCCCTTGAGTGTGTGGCTCAGCATAAACCGAGGAAGCTGAGCTGGGATTTCCTACAGCGTGGCCTTTAGGAGCAGCCCAGGTTAGGGAAAAACTGTCATTTTTCATTTGGTTTTTCTGGGCAGCGTTATTGTGAGTTTATTTTAACATAAAGTGTAAAATGGTCCCGGAGGATTTGTTGTACTGTATTTAATTCTTGAAGGAAGTTTAAAAGTGTGTGTACATGCGGGGAGGGACAGGTGAGGCAGAGGGAAGAAATAGTGGAGAGGGACGAAACTCCCCAAATGAGTCTTTGTGTAAGAATTTAAGTCCAACAATGTGTGTATTGTTGGAAGCAGGCCTGCTCAACCTGGGATCTGTGGATGCATTTACGGGTCAGGAAGGAGGTCCGTGAAGTTCTTGACATTTTAGGGAATATTTTGTTAATGGCCTTTTTTGCATTTTTCTGGGCTCATAGCTTCCATGAGCTCTGAGTTCATTTGCTTCCAGTATTAAGAGATGGAAAATAAAAGATGTCTTAGAGGAAGGTGCAAAACCTGACAAAGAGGAGGCTTTGGAAAAGCATGCAAGGCCGGGGCCTCAGTTTCCCTTTCTGTCACCTGAGGGTTTGAGAAGATGGTCTTTAGAGTCTCTTCATTAATAGTCATTTACGAAACGGAGATTTGCTCTTGTTACCCAGGCTGGAGTGCAATGGCACCACCTTGGCTCACCGCAACCTCCGCCTAATCAAGTGATTCTCCTGCCTCAGCCTCCTGAGTAGCTGGGATTACAGGCATGCACCACCACACCTGGCTAAGTTTGTAATTTTATAATAGAGATGGGGTTTCTCCTTGTTGATCAGGCTGGTCTCCAACTCCTGACCTCAGGTGACCTGCCCTCCTCGGCCTCCCAAAATGCTGGGATTACAGGTGTGAACCACTGTGCCCGGCCTAGTCATTGAATATTAATGTCCTCACAAGTCTGACTATTCCCCCAAAAGGTCGTTAGGAGATTTCCATTTGACCTGGACATAAAGAGCAATTAGCACAGGGGTTGGCATCCAGTAAGCACTGGGTGCATGGCCTTGTCACCATTGTCGCCAGTGAGCTGGGAACATGGGCCTTCCCAGTTCTGTGGGCTAGCCAGGAGCCACAGTGTCAAAAACCATCTAGGCTTTTGGAGAAAGTTGAGAAGAAAGTTGTTTTTGGATGGAGGAGGCCCGTGGTGTTTCCAGGAAGCTGTGTTTGCTTTCTCTAGGGGCCGCACTGCCCCTTATCTGTTAGTCTAATACCCGCCACTGATTGAGCCCTAAGACCCGTTCTTCTGTTGCAGGAGTCCTGCTATGGTGTCAAAGGTGATTAGGAAGGTCATTGAATTATAGATGAGAAAGGAGTTTTTAACAACTGAAAATCGGCTCAAGTTTAGGCTCTGTGCTGTTGAATTGGAGAGAGAGAGAGACAGAGAGAGAGAGAGAGAGAGAGAGAGAGAGTGTCTGTGTGTGTGTGTCTGTGCCCCTGCCCACCAGTTCTCCATGGTTAGAACAACTATAGCTTTAGTTAACAATAAGTTCTACCTTGACCTTCTGTCCACCAAGGTCTTATCTTGTAAGACTTTTTGGTTTGCTAATTTATTTGGAAGCTCGGTTTAGATAATGTCTATTGGAGAGGAGAAAAATGTGACTGAGAAGTTCCAGGAAGAAGCCTGGGCCCTAACGCCGGAGGATCCTTTATTTTTGTCCCCTCAGGGAAAGGTGGTGTTCAGTCATTTTGGCTTTGTACCATATCATGTCATGTCATGTCATATTGTATCATATATCATGTCATATCATATATCATTTGTCTTCTGGACACTTTCTGAGATAGTAGCAGTGGGGTTGGGTCCACTCAATTGACCTAAGAAAATTATCTCTAGAAGATTTTGGTTTTTAATATTTCAAATTAAGTATGATTTTTCCAGCTGGTCATTCGTGCTATTTCCTGTTGATCATTCATTGTTAATAGGGGACCGGCAGAGGAGTGAAAACATGGTTATTGACTTGAAGTGGGGCAGTCCTCAATGCCAAATCCTGTTCTGTTGATTAACATTATAAATATTTAAGTATAGTCAAGCTTGATTACCCCAGAGGAGGCAACTCTTACTTTCAAGTTCTTCTTGACGTTGTCACCTTCTCTGGTTAATTAAGGCATTGTTGACATTAACTGGCATCTTTGTTTACACCAACCCAGTAGGAGCTAAAATGAAAGGGCTTTTCCAGCCCTAAACCCTTTCCCACCCTCCACAGAGCTTGACTCTGAAAAGTAACAACCTGAAAAAAATGTAGTTTATGTAGCAATTTTTTGGCAATCTTCTGAGGGCTGATGCTCTTCTGGACCAGTGTGAGTTGGTCCAAAGTTCAGTAGCAGAGACATTGAGGTCAGGACCTGCACGGAGACCTCCCCAAGTCAGGTTTTTCCTGTAGGGTTTAAGTCCTTTGTTAGAAGTATTGTAAATGCCATAATATTAGCCATAGACATTTAATAGCAAGTTAAAAGAAAGGAAGAAAGAATATATCCGCATACCAAAAGTGAAAGATTTAAAATAATCTTCTGTTTCGTATTATCTGCATCTTTGTTTCTCAATATGAGTGTTAATATTTAAGAGTTGACTGTAACTTGATAGTTAACTTTGGAACAAGGACTTATTCTTGGTCAATTAAACTAAATGCAGGCTTATGCAGTTAAGTACACAATGAAGTACGCATTCTTTATTAGTATTTAAAGTGTTTCACAATTCATAGGCAAAGAGCTGTGTTTAATATTACTTACTGAGCAGAAATCTGGCAAGCCCAGAGAACTGGTACTTGTATCATTTCTACACTGGATCTCTCCGATTGGAATTTGGGGTATATGTGTGTGTTTCTGTTTTGTCTGTTTATTTTAACCAGTTAAAAGACAGAGAACTTACTATGCCTATAGCCCTGCATTAGGCCATAAATAAAGACTTTATTCCTTTCAAGTCTTTCTGACCCAGTTGAGGGTGAGAATTCAGATAACCATAGCAATCTAATATGAGATGTTTCTAATATCAGGCTTAATGAATAATTACATGGCTGTGAAATAGTGTTTAAACTGGAGGTGTTTTGTTTAATGTTCGTAGGCTCAATAAAATGCACCCTACTAGTCTTCCAGTTTGCAGACTGTTGTTTAGGTGTGTGTTTAGCTGGGGCAATTGTTAAAAACCCCCTCCAATCTAGCTTACTCTTACATTTCCATTGAGGCTAATTTTGAAGAAAAACATGGGAAATTGATTTTTGGGTGCCTGCCTGTTAAGCTAGGTAGGAAATACAGCTGGTGTGCTGCTCTCCACTGTACTGGTTTGATTCTTAGCAGGAGGACGTCTCTGTAGGCAGTTCAGAAATTGTGTTTTGGAAGTTTTTTAGGCTATTCCACAGATAATTCTGATCCAGTAGGTTTTATGCAACTGTGCAAAATGCCTGTGGTCTTTAGGTTTAATTTTTTTTTTTTTCCTTGAGAGATGACTTTAGCC